ACGTCATGGAAATTTTCCTGACTTAGTTCAAGATGGCATCTTGAAGTCTGAATAGGTTATCTGTTGTTTATACTAAGTCGTAAGTGTACAGTCGTGGGAGATTCCCGGATTTGGGGAAGTTCCATTAACTTGGGGTTACCACAGTATATTGTGTACTGCAAGAGTCGTAGTATAGCCTTGAAGCTTGTTTATGCATTATTGATATTGTAATTCGTCTGGGACAAAATGGCGCAAACATATTATGCACTGAGGTTATTGCTTAAAGAAACATCTATGAGAAACAATATGTTCCATTTCTTACACCTTGTCAGTTTGCAATATCTCTTAAAGACAAAGTACACAGTTTAAGAAATACAACATTTCATTCTAAAACTTGTAATATTTGTATTTGCCCGTAACACCCTCTCCATTAAACTGTGGGCATTGTAGCGCATTTCTTCCTTAAATTAGTAAACCAAAGTTCTCCAATTGTCTTTAGGTTTTCTGTGCTCCCGGCATCTTTGATCATTGTTGTAACAGTAAAATATCTGTAGTGTAATCTTTGCCTGTAAAGGTGGTTGATTAAAATGAGCAAAGCTTTTGTCTGGGAAAGAATTGAAAAGAACACCAAGTTCCAGAGTAAGATATTCTTGGATAGATCCGGATACGAATTGTAATCCGAAGTTAAAAGTAGTAATTGTATTTGTAATCCAAAGTCTTTAAATGCCTGTAGAAGTTTACATTCCTTAGATACATTGCTGGAGGTTGTGTTTGTAGAATACCCAGGTATTTGTTGTAGAGTATAGGTTGTAGAGTCCAGCTTTCCAAGTATTTGGATAGAATTGGTTGCAGATATTGAATCAGCATCATCTGTTATCACCGTGGTGATGGCGTTGGTATTTGTCTTTGTCTTTTGTCTTTGCTTTTTATTTTGTTTGTTTTTTCCATGAAACATTTTTACACCGTTTATGATGTGTATAGATTGGATACTCTCTGATATTCTTTTACGGAATAAATTAATTGACAGCATTTCCAAGACATTGTCTTAAGTGACATGGATCCCGTTATAGTAAATGTTATGTTGATACAGCAATTGAAGTGGATTCTCAAGAACGCCTCTTTTTGCTGTATTGGAATCTTTGTAACATCTCAGTGATAGACATCTCACTGACATCAGGTGCTGTTGTGCTAAAAATTTTAACAGGTAAAATCTGTGGAAAAATCTTTACATTTGGTATACTTTGTATAATAATGATAGATGAAATAGTAACATAGTTAATCTTTCTAGTGTTTTGTTTTAAAGATAAACGCCCTTGTATATGATTTAGATATAAAGAATAATTTGAAGCAGCAAAGTATTTACCGTCTTTGTTCACAATGGTATGTAAAATTACATTCTCTTTGAATGTTAAAAATACTCCTTTATTCAAAATCTCTCAATATATTTAGAATAGTTGCTAATTGGAAATATGACATTATTCATCTTTCTTTGACCTGTTAGGGAGAAGACAACTTATTCCCTGGTTATTATTAGTAAATATAATAACTACAGTTATTAGTGGCTTAAAATAACAGAAACCCCAAAAATGTGTCTTAGAAAACTTTTTTTTTTTTTAACCAAGATCTGACAGCCATTGTGGAAAGTTACATTCGTGAGATTGGATGCTTAACAATGTGAATCTTAATTGTTTAAGTATATTTTTCAGTGGCTGTTGGATGTAGCTTAAGATGATTAGAATTTTTATTATTATTTCTAAAAGTGAGTTAAGAAAGCACTCCGATACAATATTGAATGTATTTATATTTTAACTCTACCTTTGTATAGGTGGTTTATGTACCTTTAACCATTACAAACCAAATTACATTTTCTTTGTATTTGAAAAACTGATAAAATATTTGATTACGTGTATTTTAATATATATATATACATAGAGTGGTATGGATGTTGAATTTATATCTTTGACATCTTTTCACAAGTTTGCAATAGGTGACCTAACTTATCAATTTCCAAAATCATCATGTATATCACCTGGACGGGTTAATCCATAATACTCTTTCTTTCCATTGACTGGCCTTAGCTCTGGCAGACTGAATATTTTTATCATTATAAATAAACTTTATGATAGTTGAAGTAAAGTTTCTGCCTGTCTTTCAGTTCAATTTTAACTATTGAAGTACTTCACTTATATTAATTATACCACTCTGCAAACTTAAACGAATATAGAATAGTTTCTGATTTAATAAAAACAATTTATATTTTCTTCTAAAGTTTATACATTATTGCAGTTGTTATTGCAATCATATGATCTTTAACTATCATGATTCAATTATTTATCTGAGTAATTAGCTAGTATGCTCTTATACGTAAGTTTAATATATTTGTTTGTAGGCCAGACTGCAGCTGCATATGGCATTTTAGCAATAATCTTCAATTGCGTTTCAGATATTCACAAAGTCTATCCACCTTTGTAATTAACACATTATGTGTTTCTTATACCATTAATTATAGTATCTCTATTATATTACACATTGTCACTGACACATTTCTGATACAGGGAAAAAATAGCATGATTGCTTTAGTAATTATAATTTTCGGTCCATGCACAACATTCCTGGAAGTCCAGAATATAGCAAGAATCCTTTGTCGTTTGATTCTATGGAGCCGTTTAACATTTTGATTGGTATAGTTATACCAAAAGAGCAAGGAGTACGACGGTAGATCACATCTGCAACAGAACCATTACATATTCCTTGTTGTATCAATGTCTCTGTGTCTATGTTTACAGGAGTTCCTTGCTTTGCAGGTATGTACATCGTGCTTTAGTACAAGTGTCCCGTGATGTCAGGTCTCTGAAAGATTCTGCTGGCCTTTTATATTCCATTCTCTTGGCAGGGAATCTGCTCTTAGTAAGCTGGTCTTGTTATTTATTAATTGCATCAAGGTTTCTTTCGTTAATTGATGTGTTTCTTCCAAATTCAAATTCATATGCCACCAAATGTCATTGTAAAGTTCATTGTTACAGAATATTGTTCCAGTATGGTTTTTCACTCCAGTAGGAAATCTATTTTCCTCTTCTTCTGCTCCTTCCTATTAACCACTTTTCTGAGTTGTAGGCAACAATCTGTGTCTTGTACTGTGAGGTGCTTTGATAGTCAATCAGGTTTTCTCAGTACCATGTTCCATCTTAAGAAATAGCTGGGTGTTGACAGTTATCAGCCTTTATTTCTTTTTCTGGTCATCTTCTGTCTGGAAACATAATAGCAATGTCCAGAATTAGCATAGCACTTCTTTTCAGCATAAGAAGGCTGTTTGCGATAGTCACTCAATGATAAACTATATGGCAAAGTATTTTCTTAATCACCTTCATAGGTGCATCCAAAGACTTTCATAAGCATCTTTCCCGTCTTTTTCTGTTTTCAGCATGCTTTGCCATCATCGTTGAGTCCATTATTAGGATTTGTAATAGTCCAATCACATCTTTCTCATGTATAATTGTTTTTTGGAAACTTCTCAATAGGTTCCTTGTGAAATACCAGTGTAGGCAATCATTTCACTGTGAGCTGTGTCTCTACTTTTGAAATAGTTCTTGGAGGTAGTCCTCATGATCAAAAGAACTTGTATAGTGTGTTATATAGTCCTGCTTGTTAACATATTCCCAATGCAGTTTTAAAACGACAGCTAGGGTTGATGTTATGTTAATGCTGCAGACTGTAAGAAGGAGACACCAATTTTCTAGCATCCTTTTGCTTCCATCTTTGCATTTCTTTCTTACTGTATAAGATAATTCAGGTTCAGTCTGTTTTCTCCAGAGTCTTTCTTATAATGATGTTGATGATTCATTTTTCGTACATTCCATGTTAACTGTGAATGTATCACGTCTGTCTATTCATCCTTCTCCTTCACATTTGCAGGTTCAGATGTCAGATCATGATTCAGTCTGTTACGTGGCTATGATTCTGGTGGCTGTGTTTTTGTGGCATTTCTGACGTCCTCTGTTTGTTTTATCTTGTCATCTTTAACAGCATCCATTGTATCAGTCAGTGGTTCTGTGAATGTCCTGTTAGTATTTAGCAGGTTGTAAAATTTTAAAACTGTTCTCTGTTGGCTCTGATTGTTCTCTGTAGTATAAGTTCTCAGAGTCACCCTCTCCAGGACAAGCTGGCCAACAGAAGGAAATAGGTGGTGGTGCAAGGCGAGATGGGCTGGAAAAAAAAATTCCCTAAATTTCTCTAATAGAACCAATGGCTCTAAGCTCTCCCTGGTGCAGAAATATAATTGTCAGTGAAAAAACATGTAACATTTCATATGGTGTCTCACCATTTGTATCATCAGGTATGTTGTGAATTCTTATCTGTACCATAGGAATAAATAGATACCACTGTGTGGGGCAAGCAACTAGTAACTTGGTTAATAATCATTTAACCTCAGCATTCTCCCAGACCACAACCCCACATCTTTGGGGGTGGTTGGGGCACTGAAATCCCAAAGTAACCCATATGTGGTTGCCCAGTTTTAGGTTTCCTTTGCAGTAACTGCAGGACCACCATCCAAATGGATGGTCCTGGGATTATCAAATGCATACTAAGGAAGTGAGACTAGAAAACGTGGCATCAGAGGTTGCACTTCGCACAGGATATATCCAAGTAAACCTGGTACATGCATCAACACATACAAAAACATATTTATAACCATGAGATGTTGGCAAACTTCCAATATATAGTAATTCAAAAGTATGTTGGATATTAATATTTCAATAAACAGTACATCAGTAATGTGGCAATAAGCAAATGCTTATGATTACTAAACACATGAATTACAGTATTTCCCATATTGTGACCAACAATATTCCTTTTCAGGTGTCAGAAGTACATTATCTCTCTCTATAAGAGCTTGTCCTAGCCATGAAAAAGCTTTTAGGGCAAGTCCATCTTTCCTCTATAGGAAGAACAACCAACATATTACCTTCAATGGTTATTTTGTAATTAACCCCTCTAAACGATAGGAGTATTTCTGCGGATACCAGGTGGATAAGGTCTGGATATCCTTGCAAGCATAAACTCTGCAGCATGACTGAGAGATAGGGTATGCGATGTGATCCAGTGACCACAGAAAAGCGTTGGTAGACACATTGCATCAAAGTGCCTGTTAAAGACCAACTACATGAGGAGAGGGCCCATGCTTTGTTATAAGCATGTCCATACACGTATTACAATGCCAGGCTTTCAATTTGTTATCACAAAGCAAAATGCAGTTGTGGATATAAACTCACAACATATCGTAAGAAAAACTGTTTGAACGCCAGACTGAGACTCGAGATCAGTGAACAGTGGACCAAAATAGATAAATGAAATCCTATCAATTAATATACTTTCTTTAAATTACTTTATCCTCTTTATTAACTATGAAATATTAAAGTTAAAACAATAACATTTAAAAGCCAACTTTTAGTGTGGATAGGAATTACAAGGCCGTTCATAATGTGAGATAAAGAACATCTTTTTTTAAAATCCGAATAGTCTGTGAACACAAAATGACCTTGCGGTGAAAACTCACTTGCAGGGGAAAAACAAAACCTTCTTTTTTTTTTTCTTTAGTAAATTAATTAATTAATTAAACGTAGTTAGAACCTCCCTCAAAGTCCTGATTACTTTGCAAGAAACATTTCGTCCTTAAATACTGGGTAAGTCTATTAAACAGTGAAATAGCATTTTACCCTGTATATCATGTTGTCAGAGCTATAATGTGCAGTATTACAAACTATTCATAAGTGTTGTGCAAACTGTTCATTAAAAGTCAGTGATCTAGCGAGCTATAGAACATTTATTTATTTATTCTTTAAAGCTCTGACATCAATCGGCAAAACAATATTGTAATGGTGTCCATTGCAATCTGCTATCTATACTTGCTGTATATGTTCAGAGATTTCTTGGGCAATAATAAATCCCCAAAAACAACAGCTTTGCATTTATGCTAAACCTGCCTGTTGTAAACGTATTCTGTATATTTCTTGTCATAAGTACTTGTACTTAAATCTGTTTAACAAAGCTGTTTATATTGTGACTGTTTATATATTTTTATTATTATTAATTTATTTTTTTTATTTATTTTTTTTTAACATTGCTTGAATTTTTTAAAGATACCTGCATATTTAATTAAATATCCTTAATATGTCTTTAAGGCATAAAATGTCTGCAAATTAAGATTATATACAAAAATCCATGTTCTGGGTGTTCCCGTGATTCCTTTTCTATCATTTATTTATTTAAAAAAAAAAAAAATTAAGTCTGGAACCTGATTTCTTTTGGGATGAGCACCCCTCTGAGCCCCCCAGTTTCAGAGGCTTCTTTGGAGGTGACCACTGAAAAGTATAGATTCTATAAAATAGATGTGAGGGGGCTTTGGACAGTAAAGTTACCTTAATTATACTTTTCATATAGCAGATATGTGATATGCAATGTGATTTAATATATCAGAGTATTATCACTTTAATTGACACTGCATTTTTTTTTAATGCATTATTCTTTATGCATTATTATTTTTCTTTTTAAATTTTTTTCTTAAGTTTAATGTCGGGTTAGAATATTGCAGGCTTGCAATATCAAATTAATTTTGCAGTATTATATTCACATATATGCTCTTACAACATATTATTAAAATTAGCCTCTTTCAGAATTGTAGAATATGTGGTGGAACTGAATCCCCATATATGAGATTTAAAACTGTATTTTTAGTTCTACTCTGTGCCCTAATCTGTATTTATATACATAATTGCGGCAGCATATAGCTTTTAAAGAAGCAGTTATTTCACTCATCATGTGTGGTTGACTGTGGACTTTTTAAAACCTACTTTTTAGTTTTTTTATAAATCCGTTTCTGGCTTTGAGAGAGCAGGCTGCTGAATGCATGTAAATGCTGTTATTGCCTAGTCTATATACTTTTATTTATAAACAACATTGATATATTGATATATAAACAACTTTGATATTTAATCTTATCTTATGAAAACCTAGTTTATGAAATTCACTGAGATTACATGTGTCTGATCTGATTACAGTCAGTAGTACAATATAATTGTTCTAATTTCCTTACTGCTAGTACGGTGGGATATTACCACTGATTTAAGTAAGCTTTCCCTTTTAAAATTGGTGGACTTTAATCCTGCCATTGCAATAGACTAAATACTGTACCTGAGTAAGCAAAGTCATTATGTGCAGGAATTGTTCACTTTAAATGGTAGAATACTTATGCTATTCTAGTGAATTGGGCTGGCTGCTTAACACATCATTTAGTATCTTTTGGTCACATTTAAAGCTGTAAATGTATTTAACATTTTATTTAAATAAGCCTTTAATAATTAGTTTAAAAGTTATTAGAGATCCTGTATAGTTACAATTTTATTTTGCCCCGCTGTATCTTTCGTATATATTATTTTTAATAATTTTATAAATATTTATTTTTGCAGAGCATTTAGAGAAGCAAAGGATGTATAACCATCTGTTGCCCTTTTTTCTATCAGTAGTATAATTTCACCTCTGTTTAGGAAAAAATATGAGCTAGTTAGCATATATTATATAAAATATATGCTGCAGTGTACTGCATTGTACGGCACTGAATTTATTTAAAAGCCATGTCTTTCTCTTTATGGCTGTATGTAATAATGTTGTTCATAATTTAGAATATAAAACGACGACTTCTCAGTTCCTTGGAATGTTTACATGTCTCTATCTCCGCAACCTTGGCTGGAAATTCCAGTCTCCAAAAATAGTTATGCTGTTATAATTCCTGATTTTCAATCAACAGCTAGCCTAACTGACAATATGGAAAATATCACTGTTTTCTAAAACCTTTCTTATATAGTGGACATTAGAATCCAGAATGCAGTAATGCAATAATTAAAAATCCTGTCTGTCTGTTGCATGAATGTTTTCATTAAGCCATAATGCAATTTTCTTTGCATTCTTGGAATTAGACTTCAAATGTCATTGCTCTGTCTTATCACTTTTCTTTTGACAACATTTTGCATTAATCTTTTTCCTGCGCATGCATACTAAGCAGCTACAAAGAGAACATATCCCCCTGTCTGCAATCCACTGTCCTGGAACTAACGGGCCATGCTGTGCTGGTGTATTAGGCATATCAGGGAGTTTACCAAATATGTATATTTGTTCTATTATGATATTAGTTAAGATCCACAATTTCAGCATTATATGCTAATTACGTTGTACCTGGCACCTGAACTCACAGTGCCTTGTTCACATTAAAATCATCTCTAATGATCTCTCTCTGAGTCTGGGCTACAAATAGCTCAATAGATTCTTGATATTTCAAGACTTATGCCATGACAAAGTATTGTGTCTTCTCTTACGTATAAGAGGTTACCTAGGTATTTATTTTATATTTAAAGCTTCCAAGTACAAAGTCCCTTCGTGGTCGCCAATTGTAACCGTGTGTGGTTCCCTTATTTACCACTATAATGTCTTAAAGCATAGAACTTAGTAGGGCTAACCATACAGATATCTTAGCCATAATTTTATATAGTGTAAGAGATCTTCTATTTAACATATATAAATAATTGAGAATACAATATAAAATAAGGATTGTCTTGGAAGCAAGATTGTCTTTTGGATATTTATTATATAAAAATATAAAATCCATTATAGCAGAGTTTAAAAGATTTAAATTAAATGCTTGAAAATATCATTAATAGGTTAACATACCCTTCTGAACATGTCATCATGTCAGCCTCTCTGTCATTTTAAGACGGAGCAGCGTCTGTCTCCAAGTCTCTCCTCTGTGTCTTAACATTTAAAAGTACACCTATTTATACCTTAGGTGTCTCCATTTTAGGTTACTGTAGTTCAAATATGAAAAAGTAACACTTCTTTTACTTTATTCAATTTAGGTCCTCCCTTAATTTGGCAAACATACAAGGCCATAACTAAAGGGTGTATACGTCATGGAAATTTTCCTGACTTAGTTCAAGATGGCATCTTAAAGTCTGAATAGGTTATCTGTTGTTTATACTAAGTCGTAAGTGTACAGTCGTGGGAGATTCCCGGATTTGGGGAAGTTCCATTAACTTGGGGTTACCACAGTATATTGTGTACTGCAAGAGTCGTAGTATAGCCTTGAAGCTTGTTTATGCATTATTGATATTGTAATTCGTCTGGGACAAAATGGCGCAAACATATTATGCACTGAGGTTATTGCTTAAAGAAACATCTATGAGAAACAATATGTTCCATTTCTTACACCTTGTCAGTTTGCAATATCTCTTAAAGACAAAGTACACAGTTTAAGAAATACAACATTTCATTCTAAAACTTGTAATATTTGTATTTGCCCGTAACACTTGTTTTTGCCAAGATGACACCTAAGACATTTGGTTCATTAACATTCGGCTCATTTACAGCTGTCACAAGATGGTCCAAGTACATGTTATTATATAAAATGGACGTCAGAATTCAAGACAGGCACAGCACACACATTTTCCTTAAAAGATCCTCACTATGCTGCAGCATGAACCAGGGAGACTACCAATCCCTTGAAATATACCAAACTTAGAGAACAGATACACAGGATGTCCAAAATGCAGACTTTTCTATGGGAAAGCATTGTGATTGGCTGAGATCATCAATTCTGAAGATGTCAGCAAGGTGGCAGATCAAGGGCGGAGCCAAATGCCGGTGCTAGAAATAAGGTGAGGTTTCACCCTATTTAAGGGGGCAAGCTAGGCAGGGGGCTAAATAGTGGTTTTGACACTTCAAAGACAGGAATACATGTTTGTATTCCTGACCCTATAGTGTTCTTTGACCACCTGTACTAGAGTAAATATAGTTGATGGGTCAAAATCATAAGGCAGATAGAAGCAGGATGTTTTCTGTAAAATAGTGCAACAGTTTGAATTACAGTGAAAACTTTAATTGCTGACTTCTCCCCTTCTTTTACTAAGCACCTACATGTCTTTTACAGAATTCCATATTTTCCCTGCTATAGCCCAATAAATTATTTTCCTCCTCATTACACCTTTGAAATAAATGGAGCTAACTACCATTGTGAAATGCTTAGTCACATGTGCTACAGTATATTTAAATGTACGTCACAGTAGCCTTCGGAATTATTTTAACATAAAACCTTTCTAAACTTTCTAAACCCAATTAATTTTTACGTGTTATTTCCAACTTGAAATTAAGCACCATTACTTTTCAAAGCGAACATATTTAGAGATGTGCAAACGAGCTCATTGAAATATCTGATGTCTGAAATGAAGCCTAGTATAAAAAAGGAAATTATGTATATACTCCTATAAAATAGCTAAGCTTTTTATTATTCTCCATTTATTTATATCCATCTATTTACCCTAAATTATGAAACATAAATAATTGCATAGATTTTGGTGAATGAGAAACTCTTACTTAGCTTGTAACTGGTAAGTTACAAGATCGACTTTGACAAATGCACATAATGAGATTTTGAATGGCTTTGAAAACGTATAGTATTCAAATATAATTTCCGAGGACCTTGCTTTGACTTTACATTACTTCACTGATTGCTGTTTTTTTTTGTATGTTACTGCTATTTTCAAAATGAGAGACACAGTTTCCACTTAAATATTGTTGAAATAATGCATCCAATTTTGATATGTGACAAGTATCAATTACTCTTATTTTAAATCAAATCTCGTCACATAACAGGTACAAAGAATTCGGACAGTTTTATAATGTTCAGTCACCTGCAGTTTGTTTACATTACTGTTAAAGTAAGCCCACGCTTCATCCATATAAAACATATACTGTACCACAACCTTACCTTTCAGAAGTTAAATAATATAACGTTGAGTAACCCACAAGAAAAATATGTTTTTTATTTGCACAAATGTAGCTCTTTTTAGACATATCAGTAAATTAACATTACATTTATGCTAAGAATGAATTGAAAAATTTAAGATGTATAAGTCCTTTACTGCTGAGATGTTTTAAATACAGACAACAAACACACAAATTTGAATTTTATTTATACTTTGCTATATATATAAGTTTGCGGAATTTTAGTTTTTATTTATTCATTGAGAATTTACAGCAATATAATTAGTAAAAGATATTAACGAGTGAAATTCATCACTTGCCGCACTGTCGGGGGCAGAACATTATTATAAATACAAATATATAGTTCAATATGTGCAGAAGGGTCTAAAATATATTTAAAAATAAAAATAAAAACTACAAGAGTCGTGCATGTGTATGAGTTCTGTTGGCACTTTTGTACCTGCAGCTTCTAAATAATATACCCAGTTATAAACATTATGTCCAAGAAAAAATATTAAAACACATAGTCCAGACCATCTAATATGATTTAAGTAAGGGGCATACACTTAAAAAAACATATGTAAAATACACTCACATGTCCCAGAGCCTTATCAACCCTGGCTCTTGGAACTGGGGCTTCTATATCAGCATTTATTTAGATTTTCTTTACATATTTATATATTTTTATATGTAATGTATATTTTGACATTTAATATTTTAATTTTTTTTTAATATTTTTTAAGTTTATTCAAAAATATGAAATCATTTCAAAATCTTATCCAAAGATTTCAGCTTTATCTTGGACTACCATATGGATACCACATCCTATAGGTACATGGCACAATCTACACTAACACATAGAAGGGCAATAACACAAAAACTTACCAAATTCTATTAGCACAAGGATATATTGATCCATGGCGAGGGGCTTATCCCTTGGAAAGGGACTACACATTCCACTCCATGGCCCATAATTCGTACTCCTAGATAGACCGCTTCCTAATACATGGATCACTTATTACAAAAGTAGGAGACACTAAAGTGGGCCTGATCTCATGGTCGGACCATGCGCCAATAAAGCTACAATTGGGTGAACAACTCCCCTCTTGATGCTAAAGGCATCTGGCGAATGAACGAGCACCTTCTTACAAACCCACAGATACTAGAGGATATCCGTAAGGTAATAGACACATATTTTACACATAACAGCACACCCAGCACAGGGGTAGAATCACTGTGGTTGGACCATATGGCGTATATTAGAGGCGTCGTAATTAAACATGCAAGCAGAGCCAAAACACAAAGATTAAAGGCCTATTTTGACCTCACAAAGTGCAACACTGAACTAGCCCTCACTAATAAGATAACCCCTTCGCCATAACAAGCACAAGAAATCGAAGAAGTTGAAAGCCAACTTCTAGAATTAGACATAGCCAAAACTAATTTTTTTACTAAGGAGGTTCAAACAACGATATTTTGAAAAAGGTAATAGAGCGGGAGCTATCTTGGCCTCCCAACTGAAAAAGAGAACAATGTCTGCTAAAATAGCATATATACATTCTGTTCAAGAACAAAAAAATCATGAATCCTGACCATATCGTTCAGGAATTTTCTAACTATTATAGCTCACTTTACAATTTAAAAGATGACACTAACACCCACACCCCAACATCACCTCAAATCAACACATTCCTAGACTTGATCCAATTACCCAGAATTCCAGGAACTTACAAAATTAATTACATTTGAGGAACTCCATAGACACATTCAGGTTCTGCCTTTAGCCAAGAGCCCAGGGCTGGATGGCTTACCAGCAATTTACTACAAATCTTTCCAAGACCAACTAGCCCGTCATTTGTTGAGACTATTTAATCCAAGCTTACAATTGGGAGCCCTCCCTAAAGAAATGCTTTTGGTCCACATAGTTACCCTGCCCAAACTGGGCAAAAAAACAACCATATGTTCAAATTTCTTCCCCATCTTGCTTTTAAATGTAGACACGAAACTCTATTATAAGACCTTGGCTGAATGACATAGCTCTTTGCTACCAACCCTTGTCCATCACAACCAATTAGGCTTTATTAAGGGGCGCCAAGGATCGGACAACTCCAGACGACTGCTTAATGTAATTCACTGCCTCAATACAGACACTACAGATGGCCTTCTCTTAGCACATGATGCGGAGAAGGCCTTCGACAGACTTAATTGGCAATTTATGAGGAAGGTACTCATTAAGTTTGGGTTCACACCAACATTTATTACTGCAATGATGGCACGGTACACTTACCCGACAGCAAGTGTAGCCAATGCAGGTTTCATATCCCTGCCATTCCACGTTTCCAATGGGACAAGGCAAGGGTGCCCACTATCTCCTCTACTGTTTATTCTATGTTTGAAACCTCTTGCCCAACTTATTTGGATATCCCCAAATATACGAAGAGTAAATATTGGAGATCAAATGTATAAACTATTATTTGCAGATGACATCATTTTGACGATTACTCAACCCGAAACATCTTTGCCACACTTTATTGACAAACTGGCCTCTTTCGGCTCCATATCCTTCTATAAGCTTAATACCAACAAGACCCAGGCTTTACCTATCCATATGTCACATTACAAACAATTACTTTTATCCTAACAATTCCAGTTTGACTGGAGGGATGAATTTGTGGTGTTACAAATCACTAAAGCAAT